TTCAAAAGCGAAAAGGGGAGCCAAAATAATTTGCAGCGCAAAATGATTCCCTGGCATGAGCCAAGCAGAGCCATTGGCCAGAGATTGGGTGCAAATGTGCGTGCTCTTCTGTGTTTGTGTGTGCGTGTGTGCAATGAGGTCAGTGTGCGAGTTCAAAAGTTCAAGCGTTTGGGTTTAACAGCCTCAAATCGGGCGCTGGTCGCATGGTGTTGTATGCAGCATCTGTGCCTCTCCGCTCGCAGTGCTCTAGTTTTGGGAGGTCAGTTGACAGCCGAAAGCCGCTCTCCCTGCCTTTTCGATGACCCACTAAAATGATTAAGTACCATTATTTAGCAGGACATCTCTCTCACTCTCTCTCTTTCATTTTTTTGACCACACGGCAGGTCTGCATATTTTTCGCCTACTTTCTTATACTATTCTGCTTTTTATTTTATTATTATCATTTTCTTTTATTTGATATTTTATGGAGCATGTCCTAATCGCTAAATTACACGTATTTTATGAGCTTTTGTTGCCTAAAAAAAAAATAATAATAAAAATGACGCCATAATAATTTCTTATCGCTCGTTCGACAGCAGCAAATTTCCCGAAATCGAATGGGGAAAAGAAAATATTTCATTGTCACTTCAAATTGGTATGGCAACTGCTGTCATCAACAAACAGGCTCCAACAAAAATCGGTGGTTTGGTTCACGGCTTGAACCAGCATCCTGCATTTCGCGAAACATTTTAAAACACAGATTCAATTTTGATTAAGACCTTTTCATTTTTCAATACCCAATTGCCCGTTGTACTGAAAATATTGCAAGTCGTAGATATTTTCATATACAAGATGCGGGCTAACATTTTGGGCTCTACCCAAAATTGGCATCTACCCAATATGGTTAGATAATTACAACGTTTGGTACCAGAGCTCCTTGTAGTTTTAGGGCCGAATGTTGCTTAAGAGAATTTTATTTAAAACAACATTTTCCAGATGCTTCAGAGTTTTTGTTTGATTTAGGGTTCGGTTCGTATTTAAAACTAAATAAGATATTCGAGCTTGAACAGACACGTGTTCGCTCTTATATCCTATTACCACAATAATATCTATATTTAAATAAACGCCTTATAAGCAGGAAATTGAAATATATGTGCTTAATAAAATAAGCTAAATATGAGCATTATATGCAAATGTCAATTTTATTAAATATGAAATAACGATTAAATTATTGGGAACTTTAACTGCTGCTTTCTCAAAGCTTCACATAAATATGTTAAGTAATTCGATTTTTTTTATATATTAATTAATTTCTTTACCACATTAAATACGCAAAGTAGTCAGAAAAGCTCTTTTTATACCCTGTAGCCAATGAAAATGCGGATCGGATTTTTTAATGGAAGGCAGGGACTTTGAATTTCAAATATATGTATTTTGAACTATGCCAGGCGAAACAAGTAAGAGGTTATAGTCGGGAGCTCCCGACTTGAGGATACCCTGAACCCTTTTCTTCCAACATCAAATGCATATATATATTCTATTTTCGAAGCTATATGTCAAGTTTGGGGACTCTAGCTCTTATTATTTACCAAAATTGCCTAAAAAACAGGATATCGATATCGATTTTTATCGATTGCTTGGAAACTGAGGAAGTTATCGATTATTGGAAACAAACTCGATCTGCGCAGGCACTAGGAGCACCTACATCTAAAATTTCGAGTATCTAGCTCTTATAGGTTCTGGCTCATACATAGGGACGGACGGACGGACAGACAGACGGACATGGCTAGATCGACTCGGCTATTGATGCTGATCAAGCATATATATACTTTATGGGGTCAGAGATGCTTCCTTCTGCCTGTTACACATTTGGATTTTGCACAAATACAATATACCCTTATACCCTTTTTTAATGGGTTCAGGGTATAAAAAGAGCTTGTCAGGTTTTTTCGATATCACGACCCATTTAATTTATTTATCGATTTTGGGACTTGGATTTTAAAGCATGCCTCAAAGAATTTAAGAGTTGGCAACTTTTCAATAATTGCTCCGAAAATGGGAAAAGACCATCTATCCAAATATTTAAATGTTGTGTGAAATGCGGAATTCAAAGCGTGCTACTGAAAATCAATCTATTATAATGCAGGGTATTTTTGCAGTCGAGCAGAGTCGACAACAGCGTGCGCACTTGTTGACATATTTTATTGGAGTCGCTCTGTTTGTTATTTACATAAAAATCGGCGATTCGGTCTTAATGCTCTGGAAGCATTGCGATTATTCAGCTCCTTATCTGTTGGTCAACAATTTTAAAAGCTTTAGCCTTCAGCCTGTCACCATTCCGGGCAACAGCTTATTACAAAAATTGCAATACTCGTAATATGGATATACGTATATATAACATATATGGACTGCTTGTGGTATTACTGCTAATTGGCTACTGCTGGCCGTTTACTACTGCTGACTGCTTACTGGCGCCTGTGTCTTGATTGTCGGCTCATTGTCATAATGTGCGTGGAACAGTGCTTATGTATTACACATACATATATATTTCACTATTGATACATACCCTTTATCGCGAGCCAATGGGGTCGGCTGGGGGGGCGTATACGTGCAGTTGGAGCAAATGGCATACATAAACAACTTTCAATCATATGAAATGCGCTTTCAATTGCGATTGCGTCTTCAAAATGAAATGAAACGCGCGCGCGACCTAATAAATGTATGTCGATCACGTATACGCCATGTGGACGGGCGGCCACTGCTACTGTCCGCTTCGGCTGCCCACTTAACACTTATGTAGGTGGTGTTCCATGTGTGCGTGTATGTGTGTGTCTGTGTGTGTGCACTCATAATAGTTGTCTTTCATAATCGGGTTGGCCAACACAACACAACACAACACAATTTGAAAGTTGGCAACGATTTGAGCCAATTGGCAATGCAATTGCAAATGCAATTATGGGCAGCATCTTGTCTGTTAGCCTTAACCCCGCTCTCTTATCAGCTGTTGGCCATTTATTGATATCGAAATCCCGTTGCAGACACTCGACACGCTTCCACGCATTTTGCGTATGCCACGCACGTTCCCATAAACAGCATTTTATGCCGGGTCTTTATATTTAGTTGGCCCTGTGGTCACATCATTTTTGTTGTTTATATTTTTCGCTCACTTTTGCTGTTGCTTCTGTGTCTTTTGCCTACTTTTTTTCGGTTTCTTTTTGGGGCAGCGTGCATGTTATGTAAGCGTCACGGCCATATTCAATTTGTATTTGAATGTGCCCCCGCAACAGGCCTTATTCAAAGGCCTATGCCTATGCACATATTTTTTGTCGCTGTGCCGCATTTAAATTCAAAGCAAGTGAAAGAAAGTGAAATAATAATAAATATTTTAATATTTAATTGTTAAATTATAAAGCATTTATGATTGTCTAAGTTGTAGCGCACGAGACGGAAGTTTTTTTTTGGGTTTGCTCTTATCAAGGCTGCGAAACGATTTGAGCCTGGAATATATTTTATTTACCATTAAGGTGAAACATATACTTTTCTCTTTGGTTAAAAAAATGGTTTGTTTTCTTTTTTGTTTGACAATATTTTTGCATTATTTGTAAGTTCTTAAAATATAAAAAATATATTAAATTTAATAAATAAAAAACTTGTGTATAATTTAGTAAATTTATGATATGTGGTTCTCTTGAAAAAGGCCAGAGATTTAATGAGGTACAAACCTCAAAGCCTATAATAAACAACCAAAGATAGGAAATCTTCCATGCTCAACCGGTCCAAGCTGATTGTAGGTATTCAAGCCACCCCAAAAACTTGGTTGCTGGTGCAAATGCCAGCCTAAATGTAAATGTCGATGCATAGATAAAGTATTGTCTTATTCGAACATACTTAAAGCGTTCCATTGCTAGTTTACCTATACCCTTTGCCCAAAAAGTTCGAATGGGCCTTGTATCTTAGCTCTAAGTCGAAACACTTTCACAGCATCTTGCGCTTTCCCGCTAGCTCTAGCTCTCTCTCTCCCTCCCTCTCCTTCTCTCTCTCTCTCTCTATCTCTCTCTCTCTCTCTCTCTTTGTTTCTCTCACTCACTATCTCGTTGCCTCTATGTGCATAGAACTGTGAACTGTTACTCCTATATAGAGCTCCTAAGCCGATCCTTATTTATCACCACATCATATATTTTGTGCCCAAATCATGGCCGCGCTCGAATGACCCAAGGCGTGATGGCACACATGGCCCGGCTTAAGAGTGGGTGTGGGGACTGGAGTTGGTGGTTCGACTGTGCTAACACCTCACGCACATACATTGACTCGTAATACTGCTCAAATTACAGCTGTTGCCGAAGACGGGGCCAATAAATAAATTTTCCATTTACCATCAGCTGTTGCCGCTGTCTTCGATGTCTTCGTTGCCTTTGCTGCATGCCAAGTAAACGGCCCCAAAGCCCGGAGCCAAAGACCAAGTATAAAACGAATGAACGGCGGGCGGGCAACGCACAGTCGTTATTTGGACAAACTGCAGACGGTTTGTTGTCGTCGCCGATAACGTGACATTGTTGTTGTGGCCGTTGCCATTAATTAAGGCAACCATCAGAGAGCATCAGACAGACGGGCAACAGCCATCAGTCCACTGAGAGGGAGAAACTGCATCACAGCGCTTAATCTGAATCAATTCCAATTAGCATTTGCTACTGGCCTCATAAATCATAGAAGCGGGACATGTTTGGCATCTGGTATCCCGGTGGTCTGTTGACCTTCTCCCTGCTGCTCCTCGGTGGGCTGCAGTATGCGTGCCATGCACAATTATCCTTTCACACCGATGCCAACACGAATTCGTTTACGCTGAAGGCGCCCGGGCTACAGCAGACCTTCACGCGCTACTATGGTGCTGCCAAGCAGCAGCAGGCCCTGGCTCTGGAGCAGCCACAGGCTGACTTGCAACAACTACAACAACAACAACAACAACAACAGCAGCAGCAACAACAACAACAACAACAACAACAACAACAGGTGGTAAGTTTTCTTCATGCATATATTTTGTCAAGCTTTTGTCGGGGTCCAAGGGCCAGCTCCGGCTGCAGTCGAGCACTTCTGCGGCGACGACCGGCACCTGGGCGCATCGCATCACCGAAACCGAAATTCATGCCGCCGCCCATCTTCTGGCCCAGTATCTCGACGCTCTGTTCGTTGTGTGCCGCGGCGCCGCTCTCCACCAGCTGTTTCACCTGGGCGGCAGCCAACAACATGCTTGTTTCCAAGTCCTGTAACCGCGCACACATGCACACACACACACACACACACACACACACAGACACAATTAGTGGGGAATTCGGTGTGGGTCTGCTGCTTGAGCAGGTGAGCTTACCTGCGGCCTGGCGTTTGTGCAGATGCTGAGGAGCAGCAAAACAACCAACACTAAAGGCATTCCCATGGCTCTGCTCTGGTTGTGGGTCTGTGCTTGGAACTGGCTGGCCTGACTCTCGACGCAGGTTATTTAACCGGGGTGTTGGGTGACCTGGCCATTTGACTAATTGGCAGCCGGCAAACGGGAACAGCACAAAACTTTTATAATTACCGCCAACAGCTGCTGTCGTGTTGCACACATCCGGTGCCCCAATCTCAGGCAACATCTTGCCTCAACTGCGCGGCATGCAGTGCGCGCGTATGTGTGTGTTCGTGTGTGCACGAGTGTGTTTGCTCGATTTACATAACCGCTGACATGCGCTGGTAATGGGTTGGCTCCAATCTTGATGAACTCCAGTGATGTACAATTCCGAACTCCGGAAGCTGTACGATCAGCTGATTAGCGCTTATCCAAAAGTATTTATAACAATTGGATATTACAGTAAACTCACTTAATTGTCAGCTTTAGTCTATTCTCATTAATTGCGGCTCATTTATCATCTAGTTTGACTTCTCTATAGATGAATGTCTCCCAATTCATTTATAATTTAATTTTTAAATATTGTGACCTTCTTTTCGCCCAAGCTCTCATCCCTACTCCAGCTGTATATAGCTAGTGATAATGTGTCCCAAACCAATATACTCATTTTACGTTGAACAGGGTATGCAAGTATATGTTTTTATTCCTATTGATATTTTGTTGGAATACTATATTCTGTATTACATATTCATCTTCTATAGTTCTTACAAACTTTAATTCTTAATGCTCGCCATCAGCTGGTTACATTTTAGTTTTACGCTGAAAGATCGAACAACAAGCACCGAAAATTTGCCAAAATCAATTTCCTTTTCAGTGGAGCCAGGGGAAAATGAAGTATGCACAGAACTATTTAATAATGTATGTGATTCCCATGTTCCTTTCGTGAAATGTATATTTCTACCCCACTGACTAATCAGTTGGCTAAGGTCTCAAGTGCTGTCTAAGCTTAATTGAAGTCCCATATTTTTCTTTTTGTTTTTTTGTTTTTATGTAACTTTGCAATTCACTGTGAATGCAGTTTTGAAGGCAGCTCTGATCAGTTGCTCACTGGCAGGGATTCTGCATTGTCTTCGACGCCATCGGCAAAAACATGTCGCAGTTCCTCGAAATAGCTGCGGAATGAGTCGGCCATGGACTGCCAGGCATTCCGTATGCTCTGGCCCAGCTGCTCAGCCGCTGCGGCCAGGCGTGTGTCCAGTCTCGGCTCATCCGGGTAGCTTAGCTGCGGTCGCACATCGTCATACTCATTCGAGTAGTCCAGCTCCAGATCCTCCTGGCAGCGGGCCAGCCACATAAGCATCGCCAGGCCCAAGACGCAGGCAAATACAGAACGCCAAGTGGAAATCATTGCGCTAACTGACCTGACGCCAACGTGGCCCTAACGTTTTTGTCTGGGCCAACATTGATGGGTGGCGTGTCCAGCAGGCAATGGAACTGCGACACGTGCTCTGTCAGCCGGAAATGTCACTGATTAACTAGCTTATATATACATTTTTTTTAAATGTTGGCTTGTTGGTGTTTGAAGCTCGCAGCGATCAGATAAATCTGAAATAGCAAACATTTTGTCTGGTAGAGAAGCTTGTTAGACCTTCAATTAAATGCGGCTTATTGTTCTATTTTTTGTTTTCTTGTATTTTTCTTCAGTATTTTATAAGAGCCTGTAAAGAGTTAATTAGCAAAATTTTCGAATACCCCATTGATCAAGACAGTATTTTTTCTGTTTTCTTGTCTTTATTAGTATTTTTAGCAACAAAAAAAGTTGAGAAATAGCTGAAATTTCTTGGTGACATTTTAGCCAATTCAATATCTATTTGGTATGTTTTTAATATTCAAAAAAAAAAGGAAGCTAATTAATTTATATTTAAATGGTTTACATGCCGCCAGTGGTTTGAGCAGTTGCACCTTTAACTTGCTGGCGCACCTGCTGCACCATGTCGGCCATGTTGTCTATAAATGCGAGAAACAGGCCCTTGACCTGTTCGCCCAGGCCGGCGCCCAGCTGCTGCTGCTGCTGTTGCGTGGCCTGGCGGCGTCGTCGCCGGCGACTCTCGATCAGCTTCTTTTTGGTGCTCGTTTTGCTGATGCGCGTCCTAGATGCATTGTTGTTGGCGGCGCGCTTTCGTGCGCGATTCTTGCGCGCCTCGACATCGTCGGCCGACTCCGTGGTAGCGCCCATCTTCATGCCGCAAGGCGAACGCTTGAGGCGATGCAGCGCCCGGTGCAAGCTAAAGCTGCGGCTGCTGTTGCGGTAGCTGCTGCTGCTGCTGGTGCTGTTGATATTGCGCCGCCGCCGCCGCCTTTCATCCGACTCGGATGAGTCGGAATCTTCGCCACTGTCCAGTCGCATCGCATCGCCATAGCCCATTGCCGTCTTGGAGCGCACAGCCACCAGCCCGCCATCAAAGTTCATCTGTTGCGTTGCCAGCGCGCCCTCCTGCAGGCTGCTCATAATGCCAGTGCCCACGCTGAGCGCGCCTACGGCCAATTTCTCGAGTGGATTTTCAGGCCTGGCACGTGACCAGGCGCTGCCCGTGAGCAGTCCCAGCAAGAGCAGCAGCATCATTAAATGCAATTGGAAGCACATTTTTCAACTGTGTTCGCCTCGCGCCGTTGCCACCCGTTTTATGTCGCATTTTCGCACTGGATTCGTTTGCGTGCAGCGCATCTGTGCAACGTGGCGTATGATCAATATTTGCCTTTGGCACCTTTGTTTATTTTATTAATTCTCTATATAAATATATATATATATATTTTATTTTGTGGACAGCAGCAAAGCAGGCTGTGCACAATGCTTCCGGACTGTCAGCGCTGGGCTGGCAGTCCGGGACTGGGGGCAGTGTCAGTCTCGCTCGCTCGCTTAATCAGATTAGATTTCGAATTTCAGAATTTATTTCTCGTTTGAATTTGTAGCTTGCCGTAAAACTGCAAGATTTCGAAAACATTTGCTAAATTGTAGTTGTGTTTGAAACCAAATTCCACAGAAGCTGGCAGAAAATGAGAGCTGTCAAAACTCGCAGAAATGGTGGTCGACTGGTAAAGGGGGCAAGCATGAAATATGAATAGTTTTTGAAGGGTTTTTTATTAATTATTTGTTCTGCATTTTGTTTGGTTCGCAGCAAAATCCAACTCAATTCGCCGGACTTACGGCCACGGGAATACAATATTCAGCTGCGTATCCGCAGCAAGCCATTGGAGCTCACAGCAAGTCAAAGCCAGCGACAGCTGTCAGCAGCCAACAACAATTGCTTCAACAACAACAGCAGCAGCAGCAGCAATATCTGGCACAGCAACAGCAGCAACTGCAGCAGCAGCAGCAACAGCAACAGCAACAGCTGCAATCAGCTAATCTACCCAGCTATGCCGACCAGATGCAAGCCGCCTTCCTTGATTACCAGCGTCAGCGATTGGAGTTTGAGCAGCAGCAACAGCAATTGCTGCAAAAGCTCTACACCTACTATCCCGATGTCTCCGGCCAACAGCAGCACCAACTGCAGCATGAACAGCCGCAACAGTCGGCCAGCGGCAGTGTCAATGCTGCAGGAAATCGATACCTCACACGGCAATCCACGTCAGTTTTTGGCAGCGGCAACGGATTGCAGCCGCAGCAACAACGCCAGCAGACGCAGCTGCCGCAGTTGCAGTCGCAGTCACAGCCACAGTTGCACACAACAGCATCCGGCGGACTGGGCAATTTCTACTCGACCCAGCAGCACATGGGATTCCTGCAGCAGCAGCAGCAAGATGTGCTGCGCGATCAGCAGCAGAATGTTGCGCAGCAGTTCGCCACCGGCCAACTGGCACCCAGCACCACCACGAACTACGGCATGGCAGTGCCCGAGACCTCCGTACTGGGTTCTCCATCGTATCAACCTTCGTCAGCCGTATCCCATGTGAGATTCTCCAGCGGCAATCTCAACTACAACTTCTAAGACACACGCGCTTCAATCGATTTCACGATATGCCAGGCTCTGCTGCATCCCGCCAGTGGACCCAGAAACTCAAATGACTAACTAATGGATAATCGACCTCTGTTTTTTTTTTGTCACTCCTTTTTTTTGCACGCACTTAGTTTTAATTTATTCTAATCTCGTAATAGTCATTAGTAATATCTTTTTTTTTTTTTGTAACTATGTGAAAATTTTGCAGCAGCGTAGCTATGAGTCATATATTGTCTAAAATTAAAATTCGAAAATCAGAATTAATGTGTTTGCAATAATCCTTCCAATTAATTTAAGCAGTCTGCGTGTGACTGGGTGTGTAACTGTGCACGTGTGTGTGTGTATCTATGAGCGACATTATCTTTATTAAATCCCTTTCAATTCCTTTTACTCGCCTCAACCCATTGAGAATGGGGTAAATGTTTTGTGCAAATGTATATATGGGTAAAGTACAGCCTCTCCGACCCAATAAAGCTTATATATTATAGATAAGAATCTCGCAAAATATATAAGTGGTTTTAAATGATATATATGTATATACATAATCTTTCATGAGCAGAATGAGCTTATTTTATTTTTTCGATATAATCGGGTTAATATCTATGTGAAAGTGAATTCTCGTTTCGCCATTCGGAAACTACCCCGCTCTCCACATAATGAGAAAATTCGTATGTTTGTAGGCACTGCCTTGGGCCTTGGTATGCATACGCATTTCAATAATATATTTAAGCCCTTTAAATATCGCAAACATCAAACAATAAACAACGAAGTTATCCGAGGCTGCATGTACCATAATGTGGAGGCGAAGCTTGAGTTATTATTTCATTATAAATTTATAAAAGGTAGTTGCTTGTAGCGGCAGCTTGGCGCTCAGTACAGAGCATCTTATAGTCGGATTCTCTCAGTTAGAACACTTTTTCTAGCGTGGACCATAATCTTTAATGAGTTTTCTTTGATTTGAATTGGAAGTCCCCGTTGATACTATCGGCTAGCTTTAAATAATTCCTGAACTCTTCATTTTGCGGCACAAAAGATTTTTGTATAAAAAACAATTCCATGCATTTGTGTTATGAGTTGGCTTAAAGTAGAAATTCAGTCGCTAGAATGCAACCTCATGGTGCAGTTGCACAAATGACCGGGTCAGCCTTTGCTTTTAGTTTCCAAAGTTTCGCCATTCAGTTGTCCACACTTTGCTTCCGGCGGTAATAATTAACCACCAGCTGAAAGTGCTCGGCACACTTGACCCTGAGAAAATAATTGTTCAGCTAGCTGCCCTCCAGAGCCAGCCCCAGCCAAGTAGCACTTCCGCATTTGTGGCGCCTCCCCCTTTCGTCGAGCACGCGGTCTCTCTTTAGTGTGTTTTGCCATTCGTTTTTGATATACTACTGTTTTCCTTTGGCAGCGATACTTTTTACTAAGCTGATTGAAGGCGTAAGCGCACTTAGAGTCTATAACGGGTAAGAGTGCGCAGGTTGGCAGTGACCGACAGCCAGATACCCTGTACCCAGTAGCGAGCTGCATTTACAAGCCTTCTAGCTGCCTTTAATAAGAGCTCGCACGCGTTACTTATGAACTGAGCATGCTTCTTCTTTTCCTTTCCAAACTTCATGTATCGGACTTACAAACTCAGAGGACTCCGCAGTTTATTGTCTGATCTTTACGAAATTGTTGGTACTTTTATATGGCATTCACATGCGTGTGCATATAAAAGCCCAAGACTGTGCCTTCAGAAGTAAGCATTGTTTCAATTATAAGAAGGATGTTGTGAGATATCTAAAAAAAAAAAAATTAATTGGATGTGTGAATACTAGACGAGCGCCTGTTTCATGCTCTTAAAAACTCCAATTAACAAACCGTATATCAATATCGACTTCTTTTGAACGGGTAGAATTAACGAAAGATATTGACATCATCAAAGGGGTAGAATTATCGATAGATTAAGATCTAAAATCGAACTGTTCGTGCTATAGGAGCAACTGAGTTGCAACTGTAAAGTCTGGGACAGACAAACAGAAGGGCATGGGAACAGGAAGTCACAGCTACCTTCTTCCAACTATTACAAACATGTGCACAACACCCACACACCCCTTGCTACCCAAACTGTATGGGTTCAGAGAATAATTAGTTCAAATTAGCTGCATGGCAAATGTCGGTGGTCTGAACGTAGCTGCGGTGCAAAATCTTTGGCATGTTTGAGGTAGCATTAAGCATACGCCATAGTGGACAAAATTTGAATACGACCCCTCCTACCCCAAGGACTCGAAACTCTACAGTGCAGCACAGGTCACCGTCTGCACTCCCCACTTGCCTGTGCCGCACAGTCGGATATCTAGCGAGGTGTTGGGCCTAGGGACTCGCCCATAGTCCTATATTTCTTGTTATTGCTAGACATTTTGGCTATGTTGTGTCCTGTCAACTAGGGAAATGAACAGGAAGCGGCTCTGCAAACACTAGCACCACACATACACACACACACACCAGACAGCATGCGGTCACTGTGTAAAGGAATATGTTACTGTCCGTCCATATATCAGTGTGTGTGTGTGTGTGTGTGTGTGTGTGTTTGTGTGTGTGTGTGTGTTTGTGCGTGTGCCTGTGTATGTATCAGTGTGTGAGCATCTGTGTTGACCATCTTTTTTTCTGCGCTGCGCTGCACATTTCTGTTGACTTGCGTTTGTTGTTTGCTAAACGCACAAAATTGAAATTTTCTATTGAAACATGTCCTGGCATGGACAGCTACACCCCCATCGCCACCCCCGCTCCACTTTTTCCTGAATCCGAGCCCCCGAATCGCCAGACCGTTTGTATTATTTGCACGTGCGTGAGCAAAGAATTCCGCGCAACGAAGTTGACTTTGATACTAGTAAAACCATTTTTATCTGGCGAATGGCATTTAGTTAATTACTCTTTGCAATTAAATGTGTCATCTCAGAGGCCATGACGCTATTCAATTCCCTATCTTCCCTAGCTAGGAAGCTGAAACTTTCACGGTAGTTACCTGGTTACCTGATGAAGGTGCACATTAAGATAAAACATTTTTGTATGAAACTTTTTTGCTTACCGTATCGTTACGTATCGGCCTCAAACTCATCTTTGTTCAAATTCATTTGAGGGGTGTTTCATACTTTTCGAAAAATGCAGTTCTTCTTGGTTCAAATTATTTTCTCATTTTTCGCAAAATCTAAGCTTCCTCGGTGGAAAGTGCGATTCAAGGACTGTTTTGTCCGATTTGCTTCAATCTTATATTCAAAGCTCTTCAGAAGAACTTAATGAATAGGTGCTTCGGCTGTTGGGGAAATTCCGCCTGCAACAGTGGTAAATTTGCGGAAAGCAGTTGTATGCAAGTTATTTGTTTACCGTCCGATCATTATCGTATATAGACATAGGTAGAAATTTCCCACCCCCATACTTCAGTCATATTCTATCCGATTTTCACGAGGTTCAACTGTTTGTTTCGGTTATTTTCTGTCTTTGGTTTGGCCTCTTAAACAATTTGGCATTTGAATGCGGCAACAATATTCTTGTATAACATAAAAATTTAATCCGTATGCTTTAATATGATGTAAGAGTTAGTTTTAAAAAAGAAATATATAAATGGCGTTTACGTGTAGCACATGCCCATCGATCTCAGTGACAAGAAAGTAAGAGTTAGGAAAATTGTTTATTTATTTATTAACTTATATAAAATATTTGCACTTTGATAGTCCAAACGAATTACCTGCCTTTGGCCTTGCTTCGTGAAGCTGATTTTTCACCTGCTTGAAACTAGGTTTCAGCTTGTCTTATATATTTGTATTTTATTTTAAATAAGCAACTCCACTTTTAATGAAGAATTGCCCGTTCTCCTGAAAATATTGCAAGCCGTAAATATTTTCACATATAAAATGCGGGCTACATTCGATCTTTACCCAAATTGACATCTACCCAATGTGGCTAGATAAGTTCAATTTTAAACAATAGCTTAACTTAATTTTGAGCCAAATCAGTATTGAAACAAATATATGTTACTTTCGGTTGAAGTTCTTTTGAAAATTGTAGTAGCCCCTTGTGCTTAACGTAAGATTCATAATTGACAATAAAAGCTAATTCCTCGTTCGAACCGGGTATTCTGACACACATTGCGAATAATAAAACCCTTGCGTATCTACGCGGGACACAGCATATTATTCCATTGCCAATTCATATAGTTAAGTAGCGACCTCTAGTTGAGTTGGCTCACTGCATTGCTTTGATGTCTTGTGGAGGTCGCTTAGTTTTGTCGAGTGCCTCCTTGGCTCTGACTAACTTGGCCTTGCCTCAATACATCTCGAGCTTAAGCCGAAGAGGAAGAACTCGCTCTAGCAGCTGCATTTGCTAATGAAATTGTCGTGTTTTGGCTTTGAGTTTCCTTTGCGCTTTTACTTTTCATGGCTTTAGCTGTTTGTTGTCTTATTTACATTGGCGCGCGACTGTTGTGCCCTCTGCCTGGCCCGGCCCGGCCTTGGGCCCAGGTGTCCTGTGTATTCTGGAGGGCAGGACTCGGCTTGTGTTTGTATTTGCATTCAGCATGCTCTAAATGAATATGCCAACAGTTTTTCTTTGCTTTTTTTCCTCTTTCTTTTTGGCGGACAACTGTTGCTGTGCTGCTCGCCAGTTGGCTTTAATGTCGTGGCCAAATCAAATAAGCCACGTGTCAAGACACACGCACACAGCTAGCCGCAGGTAGTGGTAGCAGCGGGGGCATGGCTCTTACTTTGTTGGCCAGCGTCTGGCATAACTTTGCATCTTAATTGATATCCAGCTGCTTGGCTGAGATTCTCGCTGTGCTACGCTGTTGTGGCTAGAATATTGAATCAATATTTGTATGTCATACTCTCTTGTTTTCTTTGTCAGCGGTGTGTGTGTGTGTGTGTGTGTGTGTGTGTGTGTGTGTGTGTGTGTGTGTGTGTGTGTGTGTGTGGTGTGTGTGTGTGTGTGTGTGTGTGTGTGTGTGTGTGTGTGTGTGTGTGTGTGTGTGTGTGTGTGTGTGTGTGTGTGTGTGTGTGTGTGTGTGTGTGTGTGTGTGTGTGTGTGTGTGTGTGTGTGTGTGGTGTGTGTGTGTGTGTGTGTGTGTGTGTGAGTATTGTGTTGTCTTTCACGCAACTTTGTACTAAGCCACATTTACAGTTAATTATAACACACTCTCACACACCCACACACACACATACACATTATACATGAAATTCCGTTCACAAGCTATCGCTAACGCTTTGAGGTGTTGTTCAAGTTAC